GTCAAAATCAATTGAATTGAGTATTCTGAATTGCGATGAACCCATAACGATAACAGGTATATATAGATCCCCGAATAGCTGTCCAAAAATATTCAATGCAGATCTCTTGGAATATTTAACGAACAATAAACACAAAAACCATGTTATCACTGGTGACATCAATATTAATTTGATGGGAGACACAGATTTTATTGACGATTATAAAACAATTTTAAATTCATTCGATTTCATATCTTACATAAATCATATCACTCGTAGAGCCAGCATGACTTGCTTGGATCATTTTTTTGTATTAAATAACTCTGAAAAAATTAGAAAAATAAAATCATACATTTTCCCGCATGATTTAACGGACCACGACCCCATAATTCTCACTATGTCCTTTCACATAATGAAGGAAGATAAAAAAATACTTTCACACAAAAAATTCATTGATTTCAAAAAATTGAGAAACGCTCTAAATACAGAATCATGGTATACTACGTATACTTCTGAAACCGTAGATGAAATAACGGATTCGTTTATTAAAACATTGAACGATCATATCAGTAACTGTACCAATGTCGTGAAAATATCTTCAAAACATAGAATCAAGAAACCCTGGATTACCAAATGTCTGTTAAAATCTATATCAACTAAATATGAATTATACAACAAATTACGAAAAAACCCGAATAACGTAATCATAGAAATGGAATATAAATCCTATAAAAATAAACTTAACAACTTGATACAGAAGAATAAAAAAGATTATTTCAAAAAACAAATTGATGGTAATAAAGGGTCATCAAAAAAATTGTGGACATGTGTGAATAATATATGTGGCAAAAGTAAAAGTGAAACAAAAATTACAAAAATCATAACAGATACAAATGAAATTATTACTGACGAAAAATTGATGGCAAATGAATTCAACAATTTTTACTGCGATCTAGGTAAAAACTATGCGGATAAAATTGAGGAACCCTTCCAGTTTCAGGACAATATTTCAGCTTTGAATTATACCATGTACCTTTTTCCACCAACCAATAGTGAAATAATCAATACTATAAATAGTCTCAAGCCAAAAAAATCCCCCGGAATAGATGGACTGAGAGCTGAAACTCTGAAACAAATTTCTGATCTCATTATCTTACCACTGAACTTTCTGATTAGCAAATGCTTCGATGCAACTTATTTTCCTAAATCTTTAAAAATTGGTCTCATCAAGCCACTACATAAGGGAGGTAATAAATCAGATATTAATAACTACAGACCAATATCACTAATCTCAACATTATCTAAAATAATTGAGAAATTGATAAAAAGTAGACTAACAAATTTCTTTACCAAGCATAAAATTATTTCCGAACATCAATATGGCTTCAGGGAGGGGAAGTCTACAGAAGATGCGATCTATTCATTAACATCACTCATATATAAGGCAATAGATAAAAAAACTCCAGCCTTAGGTATATTTATAGACCTGTCTAAAGCGTTTGATACCGTGAGTCATGAGGTATTACTTGGAAAACTATATTCATACGGTATTAGAGGTAAAACTTATGATCTTCTGAAAAGTTATTTGGCAGATCGACAACAACGAGTATGCCTCCATGAAAATATCAGCGAACCGAGGACTGTCACATTTGGTGTTCCCCAAGGCACTGTGTTGGGCCCACTATTATTCACATTATATATAAATAGCCTTTTACATATCGATTCCCGAGGGACAATTCTCAGCTTTGCTGATGATACGGTGTTATTCTACACTGCTGATACATGGAGAAATTTGAAAATCAAGGCAGAAACTGATTTCCAAGTCATTAAGAAGTGGTTCCAATGCAACAAACTTACTCTGAATCTGAATAAAACTCATTACCTCCCATTTACGTCCTATCTTAATTATCTGCCACAACTAGGAAATTTGAATATCGATGAAGTTACGACAATACCTGAAGCTGAGTCTGTTAAGTATCTGGGTGTCATAATAGACAAACATTTACGTTGGGATTTACACGTTGCATTCATAACGAAAAAAATTAGAGGCCTCATTGGTAGATTTAGATATCTGTCGCAATTTTTAGATATTCATCACCTAAAAACAGTATACTATGCACTCATCCAGTCTCACTTGTCTTATGGTATAATGGGTTGGGGAGGAGTTCTTGACCGTCATCTAGAAAGACTGAATGTTGTACAAAAATGGGTTTTGAGAATTATTTACAAAAAAAAACTCACTTTTTCCAGTAATGAACTCTTTCTCAGTAGTCAAATCCTAGATTTAAGACAATTATACTGCCAGAAGTTAATAATTAACATCCACACATCTAAAATTGTATTGGAACCCACAGACCACAACTATGCCACCCGAAATAAAAACACTACTGTTAAAATACCCAAGTGCGATAAGAATATTGGACAAAGAAGTTCACAGTATTTGGGGCCTAAATTATATAATCTCCTCCCTCCACAACTGAAATCTGTAATTAATAAAAACTCTTTCAAATATATGGTTAAAATGTGGATTTTAAACACGGAAAGAGCATTCTTCAGTTACTTTGTTAACAATATAATGATTTGAGAAAAAGTAAAATAATTAATTAATAAAAAAAAAAAAAAAAAAAAGCAGACCCCGATTGTGTCAAACATATCCTGATTATGTCAAATATATCCTGATTGTGTCGAATATCCCGATTATGTCAAATATATCCCAATTGTGTCGAATATATCATGAAATGGACATTAAATCCCTATTTTGTCATTATTTATATATTTGTTTTGATAATGTTTATGTATTTGTAGTTGTAAACTCTCACGCACAAGCAATCACTTGCTTCTGTGAGTATACATGTTTATTCATTTATATTTGTATTACATTATAGCATTGTTCATTTAACCGTAATAAACATATTATTATTATTATTATTATTATTATTATTATTATTATAAAAATATAACTTGCCTATATGTTCAGTATTGAAATGAAAATTGAAAGGTATAGGAGAAGTATACTTGTATAAACTCTGATCTTGATGAGCTTTGAACTTAAAAAAAAATCATTCATATCAGTGATATTGAAATTATATCTCTCACGAACAGGTTATATGACAATAAACTCATTTCGAATATCAAAATCCTCATCAGTAACCAGTTATTCTTTCAGCTATTCTTCGTGATATACACAATTTTCATCTCCCTATTGTTCTAAAATTGTTCTATCCGTCATTCGGTTGCCCCTTACGAGCAACCCTCAGAAGTCTTCGAAAGACTTGTGCGAGCAAGGAATGACGGGGGCCTTACCTTTTAACGTGTGATCCCAAACACTTTCTTAGGCCATCAGAAAAAGTCTGCGTTCGTGGGTCTCGAACCCACGATCGATACCTCGACGTGAATCGATATTGAAGCATCGAAGCACTGAGGTACGCCGGCCTTCGGCTAAAACTATAACAAACTGACATCTGAGAATTATTATGATTTGTTGACATACTCCTGTCATTTGGGCATTTGTTTCTGGATGGGTGATAAATTGACATTCATCATACAGGAGACGTGGAAAGAAATTCTGAATTGAGAAAACCTAATCACGAATCTGCAATTGAGGTCTATAAAAATAACAAGTTTCCATCGTTCAAGTTTGAACCCCTTGATTGGGTGAAAGTATTGAAAAGGAATATACTCAGATATAATACTTTCACCCAATCAAGGGGTTCAAACTTGAACGATGGCAACTTGTTATTTTAATAGACCTCAATCACAGATTCGTGATTAGGTTTTCTCAATTCAGAATTTCCTTCCACGTCCTGTATGATGAATGTCAATTTATCATACATCCAAAAACAGGGGATTATTATTTTCTAAATCATAGTTTTGTCGATAAGTAAGAAGGTTAGAATGATAAATCTACGGGAATGAAATAGTTTTGTTGGTGTTTTTCCAATATTATAGACAATGCGTAGAAATTGAAAAAATATCAAAAACTAAAAGTTCTTATAGAAACGTCAAAATTCGACACATGTAATATTTTAATAGAAACAAAAACAACATTTCTTAGTAGAATTTTTTAAATTCAAACAAATAAGCCTATTTTCAGCGCTTATTTTGAAAAAATGTGACTTTTGACACGTAGCGAAAGTTACGTGACCCCCACTGAGCAGTCAATTTTTCATATTTTTGAAGTAAAAGTTAAAGCCCAAGTTGAATTTTGGAATAAATTATTATTCCAGCAAACACAGGGCAGTAACTGTAAAGTACTATGGAAGTAATTTTGCAACTAATATCCGCGTGCGATGTACGAAAAACATCTCCTCCCGCTCTTATTTGCAGCGAAATGTCCGCGACATCAAGTACGCATTTCATTAATTGTGTTGTTCAAATTGAGATTTGATAAAATAGCCCAAATGAAACATATATCCGTATAGTCACTGTGGCAGTTTTTGAGACAATAAATGTCGTATTTACAATCACATTGGGCACATTCATGCGAGGATTCTCTGAGACTTCTCCATTTTATTCCTTTTGATATGGTGACTTTCTCGAATAGACTTCTTTGCGATGTTTCTCGATGACGATCTTTTCAACTAGAAATTCAACACATTTTGTGGTAATGACATTGTGGTTGTTTATTATTATCTTGAAATAATAATCACTGCATCTTAGATTTCTTGTTAACAAAGCGAATTCTCAATGTAACCACGTTCAGAACAAACATGCGTAATCAAACTGAAAACATATTTCCATTTGCAATTTGGGACTTCGCGAAACTGCCATGTGATGTAACGTGTTTGCTGGGTAAAAGTTTTTCCCATATGATCCTGACTATAAGAATGACACTATATACGTTAGGCAAATCGATGTTAGTTTATTGTACAAGTATTTCACTTGAAGAAGCTACTAGTTAGCGAAACAACTCATGCTTTGAAGATTTTGCGGAAATCTAATAATTTGTGAAGTTTTTCACATTATTCATAGAATTCGGTAGTTTTTGGTAGAACCAATGAATTGATGAAAATAATAAGTACCTAGTAATGCAAGAGTATGTCGACCTCCACACGCCACCTTGATTACATTCCTCTCTGAATCCTCAAAATCTACAACATGTGGAGTAGCCATAACAGAAACACTGTTGTCCTCCGCTGCTCTGTCATCAGTTTTCCTTTTACACAGCCCTAATTGTCCATTACCATTCCATCCCCAAATATAAAGGTCACCATCTTGACTCAGAGCGCCGGAGTGCCAGCCTCCTGCGGAAATTTGAGTTATTTTTATTCCAGCTAGAGCTTCCACGAGAACAGGTTCTTCTTCATCATCTAGTTTTCCATGACCCAGTTGTCCACGACTGGAATGAAGGAAGAAATCAATAGTATATTATTCAACAGATGCAAAATACATTACGAAGTTGAATATTATAATCTGAGTGAATAATAGTACATTACACACCGAGGTGGAAAGAGATTCATTCCAGTTGTGAGATTAGTTAGTTAACCGAGACGCAAAGCGTGGAGGTTAGCTATGATCTCGAGAAAGGAATGAAACTTCCTACCGAGGTTTGTATACTATTTTATTTACAACCATCATATTTCGATCAGAATTAATAAATCTGTTTCGTTCTGAACATACCTAAAATTTTACATAAGTAGGAGCGGGAAGTGGGGGAGGGAAGAAAGTGAGGGCGGGAAGTGAGGTCGGGAAGTAGAGGTGCATAATGTGACACTTCCCAACGTTTAATGATGTTAGTAATGACAACATTACATATATGGTTGTGAATAAAATACTTTATTTGTATTTGTTAGAGTTTGCACCTGCTATGATGATTGAGATTTAAATCGATTACTTCAAGTATTACTGGTTTTATCAGCCATTTCAGTGGAAAATGTTACAACGTGAAATGTGCCATTTGGCGGTAAAAGTCGACAGAGAGAGATAGAGCTCGATCTAACGGCTGTCACTGTCATTTTGAGCGATTAGAATTACCAACATAAATAATAATGGCCATGTATACAGAACTAGCTGACAGAACATTATTCACAACTATTCAAATAACAAAGCAAATTTTATAGTTAAAAAACGAATCTTTGAAAATCACCAAACTACTTATTGAAACATATTATAGGACTTGAATAATCAACAATATATGACTAATTCCAATGATATTCACTGAGAAAATCACAAACATTGCTGGATCTTATTTTTATTGCAAGGTTTTTTTTTTGATAAATGTCACAGTATGCAACTTGTTCTGAACTATCACAGAATAACTATTATCTTGAGAATCTACAGGTAGATGTGGTTGTTGTGGAATTGTTGTCACTATGGACATTGACAACAATTCCACAACTAGTAGCATCAACATTTTTCAACTCTAAGTAAGTCAAGCACAAATTAGATAATTCTTTCACATCAACCTTTTTGTATTGTAGAACTTTCAATTAGGCTGGAGATGGTCTTTTATAAGACCGAAACATGTCCTTATGATTGTGTAACAACATCATTAAAATTTGTGGAAGATGACTGCGCATTCCTTCCTTCCTTTGCTAACCAAATTGGTCAATACATGAGGTTGTTTTATTTCGAATATGCCACAGAAATACTTTCACCATTTCAGCGAATAGTGGAAGCATGTTTTTTCAGTGTTAGTCAAAGGGTGATTCGTGAAATTAACGATAAATTTGTCTCCGTATATACGGTATACAGAAACGGTATCACCAGAAATGGAATATAGGAAATACATGTTGACGGTACGCACACGTGTACGTTTGTTGTTCAGAAAATTTCTTCAATACAATGATATTTTTTAGGACAGATATAAGAGAACGGAATACAAAATGGTATGGATTCTTAGTACATTACAAACATTTAGTGACAAACAAATTTCCAAAATCCAATTCAGTGGTTTTTATTGCTAATTTATTATTTATTCCACTTCTCGAAAATTTGTTACTTGTGCATGAATAAATGAGTTCATGCCAGCTGAACGATGAGCTTGCATGACAACGTTTTCATTTTATCATCAAATTGGGAAACAAATTTACCAAAATGTAGTACTAATTCGTTGCTAATTTGTTCCTCCTTTCAAATTTTCGAATTTTTCTAGACTAGAAATAAAAATGATGATGCCATGCTAGCTTCACGATGAATTGTCATAACTTTTTTGTTTCGTGACTGTATTGGAAACATAATATTCAAAAATGTTGTACAAATGTTTCCATAAATTGTTCCTCCTTTTAAATTTTTCGGATTTTTGTCCATCACAGATTGAAATTATTCCATCCAACTGTACCTTCAAAACCAACGTTCTCTTTCTGACTTGTTGAATTGAAAACGATCATACCTGGATTTGTATTGGCAATACGTTCCTCTTTTGGAACATTTGTTGCTATTTTTTTTGTAGAATTTATCGAAAAAGAACATGGTAGACTGATTAAAAAAAACTCGAAAACGATCATTGCAGAAATGATTGCTTTCACATCCCCCATTTGGAATTGAGTTTACATGTTAGATAACGAATAGGCAAGGACACAAATGCGTGAATTCATTTAAATAAGCATATAATTGAAATATAGTAGTAACTTAACATGAATGCATCAATTTGTTGATAAAATATGCTGTAATACCGGGTGACCAGTTATATTCTGACCCATTTCAAATGCTAATATCTCTGAAACCATTCAAGTTATCGTTGTGCGGTTTGGACTAGTCTATTTTGATGTTTTTCAAGTTTTTTTTGACGTGTTCATCTTCCCACTTGAACTTCCGGTTCTACCGGAAACAAACAAGCAATAATCCAGGTATAGGGCAACTTTTTTATTTCATTGAATCACCCTGTATATTTTTGCACATTCAGAAAGACTAGCCTTTTCTCTATCTAACAATGTATTACAAGTATGTTCTCCTAGAAAACCATTAGAGTTATAATTCTTTGAAACAACTACTGCTTGTGGAATGGTTTAATGAGATTATGCAATGTTATCAAAGTTGCCCTATACCTGAATAATGGGCGATAATGGCTTGTTTGTTTCCGGTAGAACCGGAAGTTCAGGTGAGAAGGTGAACCAGTCAGAAAACTTGAAGAATATCAAAATAGAGAGGTCCAAACCGCACAACGATAATTTGAATAGTTTTGGAGATATAAGCAGGTGGAATGGGTTGAAATGTTCGTGAATGCAGTGACAATACATTATGGAATTTTTGTTGAAATTAAAAAAAAATGGCTGCTCCAAGATGGAGGACAAGATTTGGTCCGATTCCATTCAATATCGGTAAGTGGGGGTTTTTGAGGTCGGAGATCATGATTTTTTTTTGTTAAAATTCATAAATTCAAGATGGCGGCTTCCAAATAAATTTTTGTTTTTGTATAAATGACGATAACTCCGTTGTTATCAACACAAAACCATTACTGCAACATATCATATGTAAGAGAAAAAACAGTTATTTGTGATTAAGTCATAGTGAGATATGAACTACATTTGAGAAACTAAAGTTGGTGCTGATATCTTAAATTCTAGAAGAGTTGGTATAAATTTCATATTTTTTTCGAAATCACTTTGAAAAACTGCCATGAGAATGTGAAATTCCTATTTGAATATTTTCATAAATGAAGAAGTTACGGAGGAGACATGAAAATGATCAAAATCTGTTTTTTGCGTATAAAACAAGAACGAATAGATTTTATCAAAATATTTTTTCACATTATAGTTGGCCTTGACAAACTCCACATTTGGTGTCATTTAACCGACCTCGTATCTCTCACCGTTAAAAAGATACCCATGGTGAGCATGGTAAGTGGGACACACTGTATGTGAGTAAATTTTCAGTTAAGTGTAAAAAACAATCTCTCATTATGTACAGACACATTTTCCAATCTTCAAGTTATGGATCCACACCTTTCTCAAAGCGATCACTCCCTTTTTTCCCAAATTATTAGTTTCGAATACAAAAGAACCACGCGCTAAACTATAGGAAAAATGGTTCTCGATGAAAATGGCAAAATTTTTGGTATGTTGCAGACTTTGATATACTGAACAGATATTCCATTGAACTAACCTCAAAAAATGGGCAGTTTTTCCGATATTGACCTCCAAATGTCATTTTGTCTAGAAAAAAAAAGTATCTGAAAATGGTTGAATTTTTGGCATGTTGTAGATAGGAATGAACTGATGAAAACATCCAATTGACCTAACCTCCAAGAAGTGAGTTTTCTCGATATTGACCTCCAAATGTATTTTTTTCGAAAAAAATCTCTGAAAATAGCTGAATTTCTGGTATGTTGTAGATAGGAATGAACTGATGAAAAAATCCAATCGACCTTAACTCGAAAAATTGACAGCTTTTTCGACATTGACCTCCAAATCTAATTTTTTCGAAAAATAATCTATAATAATGGCTGGATTAAGTAGCTATGTTGTAGATATAAAAAAAAACTGATGAAAAAATCCTATTGACCTAAACTCAAAAAATTGACAGTTTCACTGCTACTGACCCCTGAATGGTATTCAAACAACTGTATGAAAGTTGACCTCCAGAATGTTATTCTGTACAATTTCAAGGTCAGGAGGGTCAGGAAAAAATGGTGTTTCATCATAATCGACGTTTCGTCCTCCAGTATGGGGCATCCTCAGAAATCTATGAGTAAACCTACTAGAAAAATGGGTCAATTAAATTATGTTGCAGCTTCGATTTTCAAACACATATTCCTGAATATCCTCAATTCCTCATATAGGTGAGTGGATTTTTGAAGGTTTTCATTTAATTTTGATAACTTTTTTCATGTCTTTTTTGTATTTTTTCCCATCACACACATTATTTTGATGTTTCAATGTACCCATTCTGCTTGTAATCGAAGAGTCCTGAATTTTTGGTATGTTGTAGGCTCGGTTGTAGGTTGTTGTTGAATATAATCATTGATGATTCCAGAGATGAAATAATAAAACACATCTTGCTACTAGAAATGGGTTCGATTGGATCAACATCGTCTTCTGGATTTTCGTTCTCTCACTTTGGATCAGTTTCGTGATATAACTGTTGGCATTTATCAAGTTCGATTAGCCGCTTCATATACTTATTCAAGGCAAACTCCAACGAGAACAAGGGGAAGAGTTTGAAGTAGATCAACCGAGAGATCAACTTACTGATGAGCCAGGTCTCCTAAGAGTTAGACTTTATTCTCGCTTCTGAAATGCTGTCAAATATCAGTTATGGATAGCTTATGAACCTATCGACGATGGCGAGGCAAATGACGAAGCTGAGGATTTGAGTAATATCATTCTAGGTTATTATTGTACCTGTAGGTCGGGCACTCGGACACTAGGTTCGTGTGGACACGTAGCTAGCGTGTTATTGTTTTTAGATGCACGTCATTTCCCAAATGTGAGATATCCGGCATCGTCTCTTATGGATAGAGTGTTGGATGCTGCTCATCGGCCTCAAGAAGTTGATCCAAATGTTTAAAAATACCATCTGAAGGCTTCCTTAGGGAAAACGAGAGTCACAGCATTATGATTGATTCTATTTGAATATATGAAATCAACTGGTGACCTGCTCGCTTACGTCTCACATATATGGCAGCAATCTATTGACAGATATGGTGAAACCTTAGCCGTGACACTTGATATCTCCAGGTCTCTCCATGTAGTGGTCGACGGAGTTTCCGCAAGGATCAATTCTAGCACCAGCACTATTTCTACCCCATATCAACGATTTGTTGGAAGCAACTTCATGTCCAGTACACAGTTTCGCGGAAGATAGTACTCTACATACCGCCTTCTCTTCCAGGACTCCAATACCAGCCAGGCAAATCAGAATCGAACGATGGAGAAATGTTGACAACATAAATATGGACTTGGCAACAATTCTCGAATGAGGATCCAATAACTTGGTAGATTTCAATGCAAACACAAGCATGCCTTTTCTCTAGAAAAGCCGATCTCACTATGCCCAACATAAGCTTTTCAGGAGTAATCATACCTTTGAAGACATCCATTTCGATGCTTGATATTACTATCAGTAATAACTTTTCTTGGTAAAATCACGTGAGATAAATTGCTTAAAGTGCATCCCAAAAACTTCACTCCCAGTCAGCTGCTTATGATCTATAAAGGCACAGATTCGACCGTTGGCGATCTGGCCCTATTTTATAGATATTTTCATGGACGATGCACTTCTGAAATATCAACAATTGTTCCTCCCTTGGCAGCCCACGCGAGATTAACCCGTCTAGTTGAGGCTTTGCACCCCTTCGTGGTCACTTTGGAGACCTGCAGAACATCTCTCTCCAAAGACTCGTTCGTAAAACGAACAGCGAGGCTCTGGAACACATTGCCATGGGAGGTGTTCCCCGAGGCATATAACCTCCAGAAATTAAAGAAGAACACCAATTCCTACCTTAGTTCCCTTGGTTCTCACGATGTTCTCTAAACATTACAGGATATCCCTTTTCGTGAGAACCAGAACATCAGGGTTCATTATTGAACATAAAAAAAACATTGAATCCACTTCGTTATTTTCAATGGAACACCCTATATATTTTGCGAAAAAATTGAAGATCTTTCTTTCCTAATTTCAAGAATACATAGGTTGTTGATATGAATCCTTATATTGAAAATCGTATTTAATACCTATATACCGCGTTTGTCTAAATTTCCCGTGAAACATAACAGAGCAGTTTATCCGAGTGACCCTTTCCTCTTCGCCTAGAGTCGAGTCAAATATGTTGTCTGTGTCTTGTGGAGTAGGTACCTACCAAGCATTTCAGGCTCGATTTCTGGAACCGTCAACGGAGGTAAAACGGATAAAGTGGGGTGAAGAGGATCGTAGTGTAAACAATTGATCAAACTGAAAAGGCATTATCATTACCGACAAATAGCTTATTAATATAACCCAGTCAACAAAGTTTGTTTACACTACAGATGAGACTTATGTGAAGTTGGCGCCGACTTTTTTGAAAAACTGAATTTTTATCGGAGTTCTGGGTAGATACGATTGAGTTCTGGAGTTCCTGACAAGAAATTTCAATAATTCTGGTTAATTGTAGAAAATAACCGAAACACAAAATTGTGGGTGCTAACTTCACGCGGCGCCGCATTTTTTACAGAAAAGAGTTCTGATGAGAAATTTCGACGTATTTGAAAGAGTGCTGGTGTTCCTGATATATTTCAACGATAGTTCCGGCGAAATAACAAAGTTATTCATATTTTTGATAGGGACATTCATACGCTCATGTAGCATCCACTACTTTCTAAAGTTCGGATCGGAGTTCTGGGTAGCACCAGGCGAGTTCCACATACTATCTAGGTAACTTTTTTCTCTAATTGAAACTTTAGTTTTCATGAGCGAAAACAAGGGACAAGTTTTGTGAAAGATTTGAAAAGGAGAGACAATAGAGGAGTTCTGATCAGAGTTTTGGATAGCACCAGTCGAGTTCTACATACTATCTTGATACATTCTTTCTCTTAAATCAAAACTTTTGTTTTTATAAGCGGAAAAGAGGGAACAATTGAAAAAAAAATGTTTTGTGAACAATTTGGAAAGGAGAGACAATAGAGGAGTTCTGATCGGAGTTCTGGGTAGCACCAGTCGAGTTCCAAATTACTTTTCATCATCAGAACGGTGAAGCTGTTTATGGAGAAAGATACTTTATTTTGAATAACATGTCAATAACATAATAAAATACGCTCTGTGGTGGGTTATAAAATAAAACAAATGGTATTTAGAACATATTATAAAATTTGTAGAAAACTTAGTAATCTAATTTGTCTTTAAATTATCACATTCATATCTTCGGATTATAAATAGGAACTGATACCGATAGAGTTCATATTCCCAGTTATTGTCAGTGTATCATAGTCATAAACCATAATAAATAAGACGCTAAAATAAAATATCACTTTGATGAAATTAATGAAATGAAGAAAAAATTCTGAATGATACAAAGCTCTTCCCTTTTTTCGAAAGCAAAACATATAATGTAAATTGGTATACATAACACTATCACAAACTCTCTAAGAGATCAAGTCGTACCTAACTCATTCGACGTCTCTGACATTCAATATAATTGTTATTTGAGAATTGAAAGAAGAAGAGGACGGAGGGGTCAATTTAGGTAAAGTTTATTTAGACAAAATCGAAATTAAAGTGTCAATGCATCAAACCATCTCTCTCATGTATAGTTTTTGTCATAGGTTTGTTTTCTGTGCACTCATAATCTTATAAAGAGTAGTAGTTAAAAAAAGTAATATGACTATATCATGACATTTTGGTTTATGAAATTTTAAAAATACCATGGCGCCATTTTATTGACCACCAAATCACGCAACTTCAGCACAATTTAACAGACCATGTTTATCTTATTTATAACGAGATTCCAATGGTACGCCTTGAATTTGATTCCCTTTGACATAACAACTTCATCACTGCTATATAGGTAGATTCTTTTAATAAACGTTACATAACTCCGTCGCCTCCTTACCCCTTCGGAAAATTGATCAATTATATACATTCCAGTCTTGTTACTGTTACCATCAGTGTCGCGTAAAAATATGAGGATTGACTTCTGTTTTAGAAGGTACTGTCTTGACTTTAGTACTCAAGTCGTCACATTCCCGCTGTTAGGGCTATTCTGAAGATAAACCAGATAAATCTTGAACTTGATATGCTTCGTATGCAAAAGCAGCTCGATGAAGAAGAAGCAGCAGAAAAGCAGAAGATAGCCGAGGAAAAGATTTAATTTACTAACTTCAAATCTATTTGAATTTTCAGTCCCTTTTTGTGATATCGATGGAATTCTCATCGACGTATTGCGGAATACAACGTCAGATCTTGTTTTCCTTCTAACAGATCCTGCATTTTCAAAGGAAGTTCCCACTCTCTCCAACAGATTGTTTTCAGATATTTGTCTCGGTTTAATCAGACCACAGTTGTCTTGACCGATCAGAAGCTGAGGTTTGATAGACTTAATGGTCTCCAAAATATCGCGGTTCAAATAAGGATATTTCGTGCAAATCTCTTCAACGTCGATTTGTTGTACAGGTAGGCACAAATTATCAACTGTACGTACTTGTTTCATCGGTGTCTTATTTACATGTCTCACCGTTAGAGCTGTACACATTGAGTTGGCAGCAACGCTTTCGCGATTGTACCAAGCAGGCACTTTTTAGTTTACGCAACTGGTATCGTAAAGTGGGACGTTTCAAAACTTCCGCAAGTTTTGAGAAGGGTCATATTACATGCAAAAATTAGAAAAAGCTTGTGTACCTCAGCCGCTCCGCGTTTCTTCCAAAAATCGTTTTGATTTCAGAGAAAAAAACTTATGTAGGTAGTATGTAGAACCCAACTGGTGCTACCCAGAACTCCGATCAGAACTCCTCTATTGTCTCTCCTTTCCAAATCGTTTACAAAACATATTTTTTTCAACCGGTCCCTCGTTTCCGCTTATAAAAACTAAAGTTTTGATTTTAGAGAAAAAAACTTATCTAGGTAGTATGTAGAACTCGACTGGTGCTACCTAGAACTCCGATCAGAACTCCTCTATTGTCTCTCCTTTCCAAATTGGTCACGAAACATTTTTTTTTAATTGGTCCCTCTTTTCCGCTTTTAAAAACTAAAGTTTTGATTTAAGAGAAAGAATGTATCAAGATAAAACTCCAATCAGAACTCCTCTATTGTCTCTCCTTTCCAAATCTTTCACAACTTTTTTTTTCAGGCGTTTTCTTGTTTTCGCTCATGAAAACTAAAGTTTCAATTTAAGAGAAAAAAGTTACCTAGATATTATGTGGAACTCGACTGGTGCTACCCAGAACTCCGATCCGGACATTAGAAAGTAGTGGATGCTACATGAGCGTATGAATGTCCCTATTAAAAATAGGAATAACTTTGTTATTTCGCCGGAACTATCGTTGAAATATATCAGGAACTCCAGAACTCTTTCAAATACGTCGAAATTTCTCATCAGAACTCTTTTCTGTGTAAAAAGCGGCGCCGCGTGAAGTTAGCACCCACAATTTTGTTTTTCGGTTATTTTCTACAATTAACCAGAATTATTGAAAATTTTTGTCAGGAACTCCAGAACTCCATCGTATCTACCCAGAACTCTGATAAAAATTCAGTTTTACAAATAAGTCGGTGCCAACTTCACATAAGTTGAAATCTGTCAAGAGGGGTCGGCTGAGTATATGGATGGGGCGTCCGAACAGTTCGCATTCCCGTTCACCACCTTGAGTAGTTATTATCCATTTTCATGAACTTTGAACATGACATTTGAAAGGTATGATTCTCTTCACCCCAAAATGCGTGGTGAAGCGAATCACATTTTGGATTTTTTTTTTAAATCGTTCATGATGCTTGATTTTTTTTATTTTTTCACTCAGCTCTATAGGAAGAATATACAAATCATATATATTTTTTCACACTCTCATGTACTTTGGTTGCAGTGCTGAAAAAAACTCAGATAGCTCAATTTTTCTGTTTTTCACAAATTTATTTTACTAAAGTTAATTACTTTCACAAGAAACTCGAAGTTATCAATGAAATTTGCTCACGTACTTAATATTACTAGGAATACTAGGTTGAATAGTATATGATTTCACGACATTACACAAAATACATGCTTTTATTTGGTCAAAAATGTTAGGTGTGAAATTTTCGCAATAACACATTGATAATTAAAGTTGCCTTTGGCCAGGTAGCCTTGTGGTAGAAGCGTTAGTATTCTAATCGCGATGACTTATGGGTTCAAATCCAAACGACTTCAGACATTTTGCTGATGGCCTAAGAAAGTATTGCGAATTTTGCGATTGCGATTTTTTTTAAATCGTTCATGATGCTTGATTTTTTTTATTTTTTCACTCAGCTCTATAGGAAGAATATACAAATCATATATATTTTTTCACACTCTCATGTACTTTGGTTGCAGTGCTGAAAAAAACTCAGATAGCTCAATTTTTCTGTTTTTCACAAATTTATTTTACTAAAGTTAATTACTTTCACAAGAAACTCGAAGTTATCAATGAAATTTGCTCACGTACTTAATATTACTAGGAACACTAGGTTGAATAATATATGATTTCACGACATTACACAAAATACAGGCTTTTATTTGGTCAAAAATGTTAGGTGTGAAATTTTCGCGATAACACATTGATAATTAAAGTTGCCTTTGGCCAGGTAGCCTTGTGGTAGAAGCGTTAGTATTCTAATCGCGATGACTTATGGGTTCAAATCCAAACGACTTCAGACATTTTGCTGATGGCCTAAGAAAGTATTTGGGATCACACGTTAAAATGTAAGGCCCCCTCGGGCCCCAGTCATTCCTTGCTCGCACAAGTCTCTTGAAGATTTCTCGAAGGTTGCTCGTAAGGGGGCAACCGAATGACGGATAGTAAAATTTAAAAAAAAAAGAAATTTTTTTGATCATGTTGGAATTTTGAGATGAGCGAAATTGTCAATTGAATTAGTATTGGACTCTGAAATGGAAAATTAAGATTTTCTCAACTTTATGATCTTTTTTCTTCATTATTGGCAAAATGGTTTTGATGTCCCTATTTTCTCTTTTGATTTACTAAAGAAAAACGTGGATTTATGAAACAATGTTTATATACTTTTGACCTCGCTTTTGATTGTCAAACATTAGTTTCAAAACTGAATTCACTATATGATAGCCTTGTTTCATTCACATTATTTTTCTGGTTTCTTGCAGATTTTTCATGAAGGCCTGTACCATCTCTTATATGAAACATATTTCTTATATAAAAGAAATGTATTATAGAAGTGAATAGAAATATAGACAGAAAATTGAAAGAAACAATAAGAAAAAATGTTTTTCACTCACATCATGTAGAGTTCAGAAAAAAAAACGAAATATAAATACTCAAAAATATTATAAAATAACGAAAAGTACAACAAAAATTATGATATATTGGCCTTGGCATGACATATAGGACTGGAAAAGATCCATTTGAGGTTATTTTTTATTTTAGGGAAAACTATTTATATGTTTTCAATTGTTTTTCTTCAAAGACACTATCAAGGATATGTGAAAGTGTCAATTCCATTGAAACACCTACCTCTGTGACAAATAGTTTTCTTGTTTGACAGGGGGTTTTGTTCCTCTGTTAAGAAATGTTATTTTTGCAGTATCTTAGATATTTTTTTGGACAAAGCTCTTAATGTTTCTGGCGGAACCAATGTTGCAAATACAAAATTCTATCAGGAAATTTAAAAAAAAAAACGAATATTTCATATAACCCCAGCAGTTTCATAAATCCTTGCTTTACAGTACCTACTGACCTTTGATTGAATCAAATACAGGATAGTGATAACCTGCCTATGATGTTCCAGATTTCATTAAAAAGTAGTAGATGTACACATTTGCTCCTTACTGACAAAAATAGTTTTAATTTTGATACTACTTGTCAAAGTCTAAGAAAATTAATCAAGACAGACAAGCCTGACTCACAATAGCCTATAAGCTCTGTATGACTCGTTTATGCACACAATTGCACACAATTGTACATCCAAATTTGAAATAGTGACATGAAATCATTTTTGGCCAATAATGAATAACTTCCACATAGATAATTTCTGAAGTTTCAAAAATATCAATTTTCCACATCATATATCTCTGTAATCATTTCAGCTAGAATCCAAGTGTGATAGATCCATAAAATCACCTCTTCAGGAGGAATCTAAGAATGTAATAAAATACATATAAATGTGGCCCATAACTATTTTTGAGATGTTCAACTGTTTTTCTGTTGGCATATATAAAATCTACAGAAAAAAATATAAAACAATTGGAAACAATGGTCCTTGGAAGAAAGTTGAACAATACAATAATAAATAAGAAGTTGAGTGGGTGTTCAAAATATACATGAAGAGTGAAGACTCTGTACATGTTCCAAGAAGTACCATTGAAGTCAATAAAGTCTGGACTTGAGTCTCCATGAAGTCAGTGAAGAACTTATGAAGTCAGTGAAGAACTTATGAAGTCAGTGAAGTCACAATGAAGCCACTGAAGTCTCAATGAATTCAGTGAAGTCATGATTAAGTTGTTGAAGTCTTGATGAAGTCCATTAAGTTTTAAGAAAATCCTTGGGAAAATGTGAAGTCTGGTGTACAAATGTTTGTCTGCAGTTTGCCCTTCAGGTGCATCTGCATGCAGATATTGAATTAATCCTATAGCCTGTAGGAGGATTTCCAATATTGGGTTTCTGGCATGGCTATTTCTGTTTTCACACATCAACTAATTCATCAGTCAATAGAGAATACTCAAGATAATATAATTATTCATCAGGTATTCAATTGATATTAAGTTTTCAGCTGGGTTTCCAGTTTGCCATCTCTGAGTTTTATCACTATATTACTTGCTATAATAGTATTAGTAGCTAATAAATTAAATCTCTAGTTAAATTAATCATGATTTGGATTGAGCATAAATATGCAACCAATTTCATACCTTCCTCTGCCAAATGAATAAACAGTCCCAAATTGATCCAGTAGCAGACAGTGCTCTCTTCCACATTTCACATCAACAATATGGGGGTTAATAAAATGAAGCCTATTGGGAATGTTGAAAATTGCACCTTTGTTTGAATATGCCACTGTTAACTTGGAACAGCTACTGACATTTATAATTTTTTCTTCAGCAGATTCACAAGATAAAATGGACATCATCTCCTTGAAATCACACAACTTGTCCAAGTCTGATTTAGCCAATTTCCCAGTTTCACTCAATGAAATTATTCTCTCATCATTAGAAGTTACATGAAGTATTGTCTCTCCAGATTTTCTAGGAACTAAATGCATCTCATTTTTCCAACATATCAGACAATCATCAGAAGTTAGAATAACAGAAAAACAGTAATTTATGCACATCTTTCTTATAACCTCAAACTCGAAAACTGGCTCTAGGTTTCCCACAACAGCTTTATTTGTATTCAGCTGCCCATATAAATTGAGACCGTTACAAAACACCCTCATTATTGATTATTTCTTGGTAGAAAAGTGTACAAATAAAGGATGTGTGGCTCTTTTACCTGAAAAACTAAAAAGCGCCCATTCTTCAACACAACCACAAAGCGGAATTTAGATGGTGAGTCATGAGCACAAAATCCTATTCAACTTCAGTATTTCGAATAATTTCAGATGCTTTAAATAATTAAAAAATAATAACATATTCATAATAATAATTTCATATTGCATTGTTTTTTGTTTTGTTTGTGTTGTCAGAATCACGAATCACAGCATTGCATTTAGAATTATTCAAATTTAACTGTCAGTAATGTCACTGTCACCATTTCATACGAACGTCTCCTCAAACCATTGAACCCACGGACTGTAGAGAGGTGTTGGCTTCATTCTGACAAGAAAGTGTTGCAGGTTGCAGTTATGCAGTGTGGTAACCTGGTAACTGAGATCATCTGAGATGTATACAGGGTCCTGCATCTCACCTCTCGTCTTCTATAGCTCAGTTAGTCAGTTATCAGTTGAGTCAGGATTTTGATAATATTTGGCAGACTGGGCGCATACCAGGAAAATAATTCCAATTATACAGGGTGTCTCGAAAAAGTGTGACGCCATAATGATATATTTTTTCAAATGGCTTGCGATATATTTTGTTGCACATTTGAGTTATTCCAGTGGTTCCCTACATACTCCTGGAACTTGATTGAAATCGGTTCCATAATAATAATATTCACGTAAAAAAATATATTAAAAAAATCAATTCTGCACCACTGGTCATCAAAAACATTGATAACAAAAGAGAGAGTTCCTGGTCAATAAAATCATAAGAGGTACATATCAAATATCATCACAGGGTGTGCAAAATTTAGTGTCAAACTTTTCAAATTTCAAAGCACTATAATAAGTATTTTTCCTATTCCAAATTGAAGCTCCTGTATATTTCCATGAAATTCGATCCGTGAATGAGAAATAAACTTTTTTTCTTATTACAACCCTATCAAAATTCTCATCGTAGCAAAAGTTATACAAGCAGGTATCCCCCCAGACAGCACCAGATATTCCATGAATCTCCCTATCATATTCCTTTTGGAATATTGGAATATTCTAGAAATAATCTGGAATATTCCGGAATATCTGTGGAATATTCTCTAAATATGCGAATGGGAATTCCTCAGATAATCATAGAATATACCCAATAGAATATTATATGTTGAATGTTCCTGGAATATTCCAATAAACATATTCTAAAATTAAAAAAAGTGACCCAAGTAGGGATCGAACTCGTGACCTCAAGACTATCAGATCAACGCCTTGACCACTAGGCCAGTAATCGAATTGAATAATGTTATACATATCAAGTTCTTGTGAGAGCATTGTTCGAAATCTGATCATAAACACTTTTTGTTTCAAAATCCCCTTACATCTAATTGATGTTCGATACTCATATCTCTGAAATAATAAATGGTATTTATGTGTTGAGAAACGAAGGAATATTCATGGAATATTTCATGAATATTCACCACCGAATATTCAGTTGAGAATATATTCCATGAATATACCGCACAGAATATTCAGTTGGGTATATTTCATGAATATACCGCACAGAATATTCAGTTGGGTATATTTCATGAATATACAAGAGAGAATATTCAGTTGGGAATATTCCTGGAAGATTCGTACCTGAATATTCCCTGAACATGTCCGACTATTCACTTTGGAATATTCCCTTTAGATGTTCCAGTGTCATATATATATTCTAGGAATAATCGATGAATATTCGGAATACACTCCTCCTTTTTAGCATATTTAGAGAATATTCTATGAATATCCAGTGCTGTCTGGGCCGATTTGGGCACTTTTGCGGGGTATCTCCCTTATCAGTAGATATAGAGCATTGCGGTTTTCACGACAGTGTGCTACTTTTTTATGAAATAATGGCGCAAGCAGAATTGTGATAGCTCTTCCGGTTGTCGAGATATACAGGGTGGAATTGAAAATATCACTTTTCAGAGGCACCCCCCGTTGTCTCAGTTATCTTCGAACTTATCGAATAAGTATAGTTAAAACGTTTCTTATAGAGTTTTTCTCGTTAAATCCAGTGGCGTAGTTATTTTTTTATAGCAGAGTTTTGTTTTTTAGTTATGGAGCAAACATATATGTTTTTTAAATGAAACACCCTGTATATTATTGCATATATTCATTAAGCATGAAGTGGGCTTGTGAACGATTAATTTCAAAAACAAGCTCAGAATTTCAGATTTTCAAAAATTTTAATTAATATATGAAATATTATACAGGAAGCACATTATATATGTTTATTCCTTCTTGATATACAGGGGATAATAGGTCAGGATCGAATCCTATTGAATCAGAAGATGAGGATCAAGTTTCCAATCAACTACTCCTATCGAACCGGGAGATGAAGAACCAATAATTGCAAAACAATAATGATAATCTTTCAAAATTCCAATGAAATATCTTGCGATACTGCTTTTGGCTGATATATATTTTTTCAGGGTCTGCTATCAATCTTGCGGAAACTCAGAGCAGCCCCAGAAAGGGAGTTGAGGCTTCTACTTTTGGGGTTGGACAATGCAGGAAAGACGACCATTTTAAAAATGCTTGCTTCTGAAGACATCACCAATATAACACCAACAGCCGGTTTCAATATAAAATCAGTAGTTTCAGACGGTTTCAAGTTGAATGTTTGGGATATTGGTGGACAAAGGAAAATACGGCCATATTGGAAAAATTATTTTGAGAACACCGATATATTGGTAATTATATGGATATATTGTTATATCTGGGACGGGGAATCAATACTTAACAATTTAATAGTAGGTTCGCTTCTCCATGCACCGGAGCAAGCTTTTTTTCAATATATTCTTCCTTCTCGTTCAGTATACTAGGAATATTCTCAGAATATTTGAAACAGGCCATTCCGGATGTTCATAAAGAACGCCCCTAGAATATTAATATCGTTGTTCATGGTTTTGAACCTACATCTGTAAATTTTCAGAATATGCTTTCTATGAAGGGTTTCGAAAAAACAGACATATACAGCTAAACAGCATTTTTGCGAACGTAAATAATCATTTACTCTGAATCGGTGAGTTCAAAAAAAGAAGTATATCATCTTATTGTTATTTTCAAATAATAATTTTCTACCTACCGGAGCTATTGAACGTTCCAAAATTTGCAGATAATTTTAATTCACCATTTTTGCGAAGAAATGAAAAGATGAAGTGATTTTTTGCATATGGAGGTTGGGAATTATTAGGAACAAAATCATAAAGTTAGTTTTTCTGCAAAATATATCCTATTTTTGATTTCTATAAAATCGTCCTCTTTTTATTTTAATATGAACGCACGGTTTTGTCCAGAAGGATGTTCGTCTCTGAAAAACTGATCATATTGATGGTTTTTATACCGCACAATATTTGGTACGATTCGCATGACTAATATGAGATCGAGACGCTGTATGTATAATATAAAAAAATACATATGTGACATATTAATTTGAAGGTGATTGAATCCTTTGTAACATCTTCTTCGAAGACCTTGTTGAAAAACTGAAGATTGAGCCGTCAAAATGCTCTAAATAAAACAGCTATTTTCAAAAATTTACATGATTTGCTAGAGAATATTCCGACAACTATGAAATATATAGAGAAAAACCTACTGATACAATTTTGTAGACAATTTTATCAGCTATAACTTTGGGTGATCTGATTTTTTTTGCTGTCGACTTACTGTTTTTGAGAAATGAACGATAAATCAAAAAAAGGGCCTTCTTCGTTGCCTCCTGCACTTGGCTCACCTTATTGTAAGTCGGGGACTTTTGGAATTTTCACAATTCCCTAACTATGCCAAGCAAATCGCTGATGTCAAAAATTCTGTTTGTTCTTCCATGTCCTATACAACCTTCGCAAAATCTGCTTTACAAAATCTCGGATTCTTGTTAAGTGTGAAAATCTACTTTACTCCTGAACAGCTTCTTATGATCTACAATGCACAGATTCGGCCAGTTTTAGAATACTGTTCTCATGTATGGGGTTCAGCACCCAAACATACGCTGATGCTCTTAGATTCCATTCACTCACTTACTCTTCGACCTCATGAGAACACCGCAGAAAAGTCGGCGACCTTTCAATTTTCTATAAATACTTCCAAGAGAAATGTTCCTCAAAAAATCTCTGCTATAATTCAATCACTAGCAATACAAGTCAGAAGAACTCGACAGGCACAGTCAGCACATTACTTCGCCGTTAACCTTGAAGAATGTCGAAAAACACTCTACCAAAACTCGTTCATCTATAGAACGGTGAAGCTTTGGAATCATTTGCCAATGGAAGTATTCCCAAGAACTCATTTTAACCTCCAAATGTTCAAAGGAAATTCCAACACCTACATCATCTCCCTGCTTCCCTGCTATCCTCCCTAGAGGTACGTACGATGTTTCACGAACATTATAGGAATTCTTTTCGTGCGTTTTCAAGAGATTAAAAAAAAACTTTCATTTACTGAACAAAAGTGCTGCCTACAATCGGTAGCGGACTGAATTCTGTAACATATATATGTACAGTGTATCGTATGCATTGATTATAAATAGCTGATCGCCAGGTTACTTGACAAATTCTGAAAGATATGTAGATTTTCATATCAGTTAACTGATGTAGTATCATAAAATTTCCTAGAGGATCTCACAGTACTAATCCATGTTTAGGTATTGTTTTCGTTATTACATCATGCACAAATTAACCTTATTCTTTAACCCTTTGCGGGCAGCATTCAGAAAGAAACATTCTTCACGTATTATTCTGAGGCCTTTGATACAAAATGATTTAATAAGCAACATGTATTTTTTTTGAATTTTTCATTCCATCAGTTTTTTTTTTAAATGTGGTATATTACTTGTACCACGAAGCATCACAACAAACAGGATCGATTATTTTTATGGAAATTTCGAAAAAAGTCTTGTCGATCAGACATCCGCATGATGGTACGACACATGTTCCACAGGCCCATTTGGACCTTCATTGGTGTTCTCGGGTACTTCATAGAGACCATCATCTTCGGTAAATTCCGTGAACTGGCATATGCAACGACTGATTCAATCTCCTCTCAAGCGGCACATTTGGACATTTGGCTTATACCCATTGATACTCCTTTCGATACTTGATCTTCCTCTTTTTGGTACCTAAATTCCAGCTCCTATCAATCCTGCTACTCTAGCTAGACGCATTTCCTCCAT